AAAGACCTCAAATAGCACTCGTCCTTCGGACTCGTGCTATTTCGAGGTCTTTGAAAAACTCACTTGTGCATGTTATATCCAAATTGCACTCGAAACCATGCTATTACCTATACTAATAATAATAATAGTATTCTGACATTGATCCAGTCTTGGGATCGGATCAAAATTAATTCAGTCCTTGGACTGGATCAAAATTAATGAAGTAGTGATTTATTCGCATGAGATGTCATTTCAAATCCTCCAATTCGGACTGGACTAGATTTCCAGTCCTCGCATTTTGATCCAGTCCTCGACTTCGCCTCGGACGAGATCAAATTGCATGCGAGGACTTGAAATCTAGTCCAGTCCCAGTGAACTGTAATAACACTGGAACGCTAACTGCAGATAAACATGCCCATACTTGCCTAAAGCCAAGATGGCGCTTCTCGCGAGCACGGCCAGCAATAAATTAACTTTCAAAAGGACTGGGGAGAGTTTCGAGGAGCGGGAAATTCAGTCAAAAGTTTGTTTTTGAGCGAAAATCAGCAAGAAAAAGTACTTTTTTATCAAAAGGCTTCAACTTTAAAGATTCAAACCTGGTTTCCTGGATAGTTCTAAGTATTTTACATCCACTAACAGCAAAAACTTCCTGGGTAACAGCTTGATATTCAAAATATTACACAAGTTTGAACGTGCCGAAAAAAACTTCGCACCATGACTCCTGAAAAAAGAACTTTATAACTGCTCTACGTTCTGGAAACATGTTTTGTATTAAATTTCAGGTATTGTTGAAAGTTTTTAGCTTTTTTCCTTGTTGAAATACAGCTATTTAGTGGTCGAAAACAGACATCTTTTTGGTGGCGTATTTTCCACTCCATACGTACATGGCGGTCTTCAATTTGGCTTCAAAGATGGCCGCCAAGTTATCGTTCCAGTTCCCTTAGAGTTCACTGTCCAGTCCTCATAGTCGGAATTGAAATATTGTACAAAATTAAAAAATAGAAGGTTAAATATACATACGATGACCAAGGTAGGAGTTTAAACATTTCTAAAACAACATGGAGAAAGTGGTCTTTGTCCATACAGGATAATAAAACCTGAAAGAATATAGAAAACAATTACTAAAATAATATCCGGAACAGTATAAAAATGAGAGAATTTATAATTCTTAAGAGAATAGGTATATAAAACACGAGCAGGAGTTCTTTATCAGATATAAAAACGAGGCAACAGTCGAGTGTTTTATATCTGATAAAGCACGAACTGCGGGTGTTTTAAATGGCTTAAAAACAACGACCCATCTGATGAGTTCACTGGCGAAGTAATTTTAAGAATCAACATTGTCTAAGCCGAGAAAATCAAAGCTAAAAGTTGATGTGAATTAACATGATTTTTCACATATAAACCCAATCTCCATAGGGTCGTAACGGTCGTAAAGATTGAGTCACGATCTTTCTCATCAGCCGAAATACAACATTTTAGAACTGAAAATACGCGGAGTGATTAGAACTAGAGAATACTTATGATTTATATGTGGTTTACAGGTATAAACTATTATAAACTGGCCGTTGAGAAAGATCGTGACTCTCTTTTTACAACCATTACGACCAGATGGAAAGCAGATTTTAAATGAAACCACAAACACGCGGTAGTGATTTCCTTTGTCCTTTCCTCATGATGAATTATTAATTAGTTTTAAAATCATATTTAATCCAAACCTGCATTAAAAAGATGTCCTTGTCATACATTTCCGATGCAGTATTATCCTTGCGATAAGCATGCACCTGGAAAGAAGCGAATTTCGTTAAGACAATATAGTTATTATTATAATACCTTATTGAATACCTTATTGAATTGGCTGTTTATGGTCACGTGATATTGAATA